TTTGCTCTACGAAGTTTGTTTCCATTTTAGATCATGATAATTTCAAGAGAAAAATAAGCTTAAATTTCAGGATTTGGTGTGACTGTATAGATAGATTTATACATTCAAGGGACGTGAATGTATAAATCTTATACACAGTGAATATCCACATAGGCCAACTTACAAGAGACCACGCAGACCTGCCGTTATACCATCAAGTATTTTTACGGGGATTATTGCGCCGGATATGAGGAGCTCTGTTTTATCGGCAGCATGAAAACTTGTGATGGCGCGCCGCAGTTTTGGACAACGTCGGATCGAACTTATACTTTTCTGCCGTTCATCACAATATTATGATCATAATATTATGAAATTCCATGTAAAGTTTGCGACAGGAAATTAATTATAATGAACTTTATCATAAAGTGTTTCAGCAGCTTATACAATATTATTTTACTCATTTTCCATAAAAATTTTTATTATAATAAAAAATAAGTGGATTTGTAAATCAATCAACAAATGAAAAAAATTGTCAGAGTAGCTGAGAAAAAAACGCAATGCTCAAAGACGAGTGGTGTGGTCTCTTGTAGTGAAGAACTTCACTCACTAAAATTATTAGAAATATTTGTATAAAATATATTTATGAGATTTGGTGTGAGAATGAACACCGATAATCAATAATAAAATATAAATTTATTTCACGTGAATTACAACTTCAAGCAAACAACTTTTAATTTTGTCATTGAAAATAAGTCACGGGGAAAAATTATAGTGTCGCAAGCCAGACTCCCGAATTTTGATTCACTTATGACTCCAGCTTTTAATTCATTTTTATTTAATATTTTCTATTACTTTTTCAGACGAATTGTCATCGCGAGAATAAAATCGAGTGAGGATTTGTTATAATGAGAGTATGTTTTCTTTCCTTTCAGATGAAAATAAAAATACTTGGGGCCATATTGTTCTAATAGTGACACTCTTTCTAGCCCAACAAACGAGCAGAGGTGAAACGGAGCTCCAATACGCTCTATAAAACGTGTCTAACTGTATTAGGATCACCCACTTAATGAGACAAAGTGCATCGCTATTGGTACAATGTCTCATTCTTTACTCTCAGTGCATGAGTGTTCTCTATCCCTTGTGTGACAAGGGATAGAGAACAGGGGTATATCAGCTATCCATAGGTTGAATATCCACTATACATAGGGTGAATATCTACTATGTATAGGTTGAATATCCACTATACATAGGGTGAATATCCGCTATGTATAGGGCGAATATCCACTATGTATAGGGTGAATATCCACTATACATAGGGTGAATATCCACTATGCATAGGGTGACTATCCACTATGCATAGGGTGAATATCCAATATGCATAGGGTTACTATCCACTATGCATAGGGTTGAATATCCACTATACATAGGGTGAATATCCACTATACATAGGGTGAATATCCACTATGCATAGGGTGAATATCCACTATCCCTATTGCGGGTATCTGCCATCCAGGGAGTAGCCGAAGCTCATTAGCACTCCATGGGGCCGATGGAGTGTTACGCTTGATTTCGGTAACTAGGCTGATAATTTGTATTGTATTCCATTACTGCTACTTGTACGTACTGCATTATATTTTTAACAAATTTATAGTATATTACATTACTACGGATGTCTACTGTATCATCTTATTGCAGATTTTCAATGTTTCACCTTATTACTAATTTGTACTGCATTACCATTTCGCCAATTTATAATAATTAACACTACTACTGATTGGTAATGTATTACCTCTCAATCAATAATTGTTCTGCATTAACCCTTTCACCAGTTTGTAATACATCACCTTATTAGTACTTAGTAATGGTAGGTTGGTACGTAGCTACTACTATAGTAATATTGCTACTGTATTAGCTATATTGACATTAAACTTATTTGAAAAAACCTAAAAGCAAGTATGTAGCTATTTCTATATTTTATAAAGCTAAAAACCATCCTAATAATATGAATAATGGTTTTTACTGGTAAATAATTCCACAGAATTTAATCCCATTTACTAAACCCGTAATTTTCATCTATTTGATTTATATAAGGGTGATCTGAGCGTTGTGTCGTCAGCAACGCTGTTTAATGAGGGCTGAACACCCCTCGTTTAACCGCGACTAATGCGGACTCTTGATTTAAGGCAGCGCGACCCTCGGCATGACCAAACATCAAAAGCCAAAACGATGTTCCCTCAAGAGCGACCAAATCACGAGGTCTTCAGACGACCGTTCCAGGAGCGCCACTAAAAAGCCTCAACCAATGGAGCTTTAGTCACGGTATGCCACCGAAGGACATGATAGTCAGGGGATCTGCTGTAATCGATGGAATGTTATCACTCGAGCATTGAAATGACAAGTTAAAAGGTTCATATAGGAGGAGTCTTGTACAGTCACGTGATGCATGCCGCACAAATAAGAGACTTGTTTTGAGCAATTTAAACTTGTAAGCAATATATTTCTTCGGAGACATAACTACTTATACATTTTACGCCAAATCAATGCGTGAAAAGTACAAGTTTTATCGCGCAAAGAATCGAGGAACTTCATTTTATTATAGGCTATTTTTTTCTTTCTGTGAAGGTTATTCAATTTGAAATTTACTATGAGAAATGTGAAAGAGCATAAAAATTTTTCTCATAGTTTTATGTCAATTATTTTAGAAAATAGAAGAGGAATTCGGACCACTTTGTAAAATGGGCACGAACTCCTTAAGATATTGTTGTTTTAGGCTCTATTTCATATAAGGTAATGCCAAATTTACTTTCATTATTCGTTTTCACACACATCTTCTCATCTAAAATGCTATAAAAAGTAATTTCGGTAGTAAAATGCTATAGAAAATAATTTATATTTTCCGACGATACCCTGAACACCTAATTACAGAGGACCGTATTGTCTCATCAGACGTCTACATATAACAAGGTTGAGCAAAACCGCATCTTTCGGCCGCCCTAGGTTCGCCTGCTCGATATCACCGCTGCTCTCATCAGCGAACAAAAGCTCGTCTGGCAACAAGGCATCATTGCTGTCTTTGTGAGGGGAGATTCCTAAGAGTAGCCACCGAGGTGGCAAACGTCGTTACACGCCACACAAAGATATCGTTCTGATAGCCACACGCCTCACTCCTCAAGATCATCTGCGCTCCCTGGATATACCTTCACGCTACGCTGGAAAATCTCGATGGGTTCGTCTTGACGTTTAATGAGCTGGATTTGGTCTCGGCTGTCGCGGGGCGATAAGTAGACTTCTTCTTTCGTGATGGCTAATGAGACGCATTTTGCGTGAGTTGTCGCAATATGGCGAATTCTCTGTAGGCTTATTCCGAGTTAATATTTGAATTAATGGTAGGTGATTATTAGAATTGACTTGGGTCTACAATTAAACTGAAAAATAATATCAAATTTAAGCTCTTCAATGACTATAAAAGAAAGACAGAGGTTGACGTGCAAAATGACGTGGCGTTGGCGAGGTGTATAAACAATGTAATTTATTTTTTGTGCAAGACGTGAAAGCGATATAATTAGATAATTTAACGTATATAAATAAGCATTATATGTGAGTAATATGCACGAATTTATGGCTAATGACAAGGCTCAGAAGTGGATGAGGGAATACCAGAGAGGATTTCAGGCTCGCCGTCACGGTCGAGTCAGGCGTTCCCCTTTAAAGCCACTCATTGGTCTTCCCACACCCTTCCCCAACCCTCCTTACACACTCTTCCCCTTCCCTTTCCCTTTCCCTTCCCCCACTCACTTCCCTCCTTCCTTCTCTACTGCTTTATCCGCACTTCCTAATCATCATCGTGATTGATTATAGTTCTGTTATAAAATAAATACATTGATCCACTCGTGTCTGAAACTGACCAAATACTGTTACCCGCACCACAGCTTTGCACTGTCAACACAGCTTTTATTCCGTCCGTACAAATTCCGCGCACCACAGCTTTGCACTGTCACCACAGCTTTTATTCCGTTCGTCCGCATTCCTCACAACGCATAGAGAAGTAAATGAAATACGGAGACTTAACCCCGTCGAGTTGCTACAAAATTTATAAATCATCCAGTGCAATCTTTTCTTCGAAGTTTTCGATAAGAAATCTAATTCCCTTACATTTTAGCTTAGATAACCTGAAATATCAAGTAATACAGTTATTTAAAAATTTAATGTAGATCAGCATGGACCTTACTCATGAACTAAGCTCGAAAAATCTATTTGTTGTAAAAACGCTTCACTAAAAAACGGGATAATAAAAGCAAAAAGAAATTGATGTGATGAGTGAACATTTTAGTTTATTGTTATACTTGTTGTAAAAGAATTACACTGGAATAGTGGACTGCTATTGACTGGATCTCTAGAGACGTCGATTTAACGAATAAATTTTCGTTCATTCGATTCCTTTTGCTTCGAAATTTGAAATTATGAAGTTAACCACATTATAATTGAGGAACTAACTTCACAAGCTTCATATGAGTGCCGCTTTCACCTTGGAGAATACAGCGCCCAAATTTCATTGTTAATTACAAAAACATAAAACTTGCGTGTGAATGTCATTCAAATAAGAATAGAACTGAGGCAGGATACGAGCGTCCATCTATTAGCGACACTGTACTATCAAAACTTGCTTAAAGTACGTGTATCAGCTTATGCGCACGTAGCGGCATAGGTATACGTAGCGGCATAAGTGTACGTAGCGGCATAGAAATCTCCCGACGATCTCTTTCGATCTCCCGACGCCAGCAAGAAATTTGGTTCGACTCATTGAAAAAACGAACAAGAAGATTGTTAATAAATAGCGGCATAAGTATATGTAGCGGCATAAGTATAGGTAGCGGCATAAGTATAAGTAGCGGCATAAGTATACATAGCAGCCGTTTTCTCGTTAGTGATTGTTGGGTTTAGCTTGATGAGTCGGCAGTGTTTAACGGACTAAGTAAAAAACTCGTAAATATAATTGATAATTCTACATGGTGAGAACCAACCTTGTGACTGTGGTGCAGGCGACGCAGGCGACCCCCACGCAGACTTGTAACTCGGATCTGTTGAAAGGAATACGTGGCTCAGTGAACTCGTCTCAGTGAACTCGTCTGAGGGAACTCGTCTGAGTGAACAAGACATCGAAGTTTGCACAACGCTGTCACCATCGTCTGAGGGTCAATTAAGTGCAGCAATGATGACGATGTGTGAATTCCATATAGTATTAAGTTAAAAGCTAATACCTTACACAGATAGGGCAATATGGGGCAGCGCGCCCAACACTTTTTTTAAACTAAATTTTTGATAAAGTTTTAATTGATACGAGGTGGTTCTTTGTTTTATTTAAAGGTACAGCTAATGAGGAATGTATGATGTGGATTAGACGCCAATAGAGTTATTCAATTTTTAATGAAACACTATTTTGTAGAAAGTGTCAAAATGGGCCCATTGCCCCACCCCTGAGGCAATGGGCCCATGGCCTTGGGGCAAGGCGCCCACCCTTGGTCCCTTTACCACAATTGCATATTTTCTGTTTAAAAATGATAGAATAACACTTTACAGTTTAAAATAAGAAAAATGTGATAAAAAATATGACATTCATTCATTTATTAACAACTCAAAAAATCATATCCTTAACTTGAAAAAATATACTTTTGCCTAAAAATCTACCACTGACGTGAAGAAAAATATTTCATTGACATAAAAATATATATCCTTGACTTGAAAAATATATCCATGTGATAAAAAATTCGTCCTTGACATGAAAAAAATGTATCCTTGACTAGAAAATGTATCTATATACTAGGGACGAACGCATAAAAAGAGGGAGAGCATCTTTATACTTGAAGAACGAACCGATTTTGAAGTTATTCACCAATATCACCTGCAGATTTACATTCGGAAGATATTTATTGATTAAATCTTTCAATTCCCTAGCCATAGTCTCAGATGCTTTACCGAAGTAGGGAAAAGAACAATAAATCAGGTTCCTACTGTCACAATCGGAAACAACTTCATTATATTGCCTTGACATGAATTTCTTAATTTGACTATAAATCAGTTGCGATGGAAACCCATTTAAAGAAAAAATGCTGCGCAAAAACTATGCACACTGAATTTGAGTTTTTGCGCAGCATTTTTTCTTTAAATGGGTTTCCATCGCAACTGATTTATAGTCAAATTAAGAAATTCATGTCAAGGCAATATAATGAAGTTGTTTCCGATTGTGACAGTAGGAACTGACGATGGAGCTGGACTCCGAAACGTTTTCATTCTTAAGAAATGGTTAATATTCTGGCTGTTTTCTTTGCTTTTAAATTCCGAATTAATTTCATTTGTGGTAATAATATTGATGAAAATAAACTCTAAGTGCACATAATACAATAAAAACAAACAGATGAAATAAAAACCGACAGATGTAAGGAACACTATCACATGCAGTGGACACAAACTTATGCAATGAACACAAACAGCTGCAATGAACACTAACACATGTAAAGAATATAAACAGATGCAATGAACACAAAATGTTGCAGCACATTAACACGTAACTATAGAAGGATACATTTCCAACATATTCAAATATTAAGACCGCATCTATCATATCCACCGTATATTAGCACCATATCCACCATATTAGCCCTATGTCCAACGCATTAGCACCCCACATTCCTCTCATCATAAGCAAGTGACATGTGACCGAATAAATGTGATGCGCAAGTATATTCCTGTGGGGATTTTCCTTGAATGGATGATATTAACGCATGGCTTGAAAATATTGCATCAGTGGATAATATTGCATCAGTGGATAATATTGCATCAGTGGATAACATGACATCAGTGGATAATATTGCATTAGTGGATAATATTGCGTCAGTGGATAATATTGTGTCAGTGGATAATATTGCATCAGCGCGCAGTGTATAATGTAGCATAAGTGGTTAATATTGCAGTGGTTAAACAGTCATGTTGTTTTTTTAATCTATCTGGTATGATGGTAAAAATGAAGTTTGTCAAAGCGTATATTCGAGCTCAAGAAACAGGCACAGGTTAATACAAGATCGCATTAATGTGATAAGAGTTTAAATGATTTGAATGTAGGTAAACAACAAAACTTGCTGTATAGGCGGCCTTTCGACACTGCATGCAGCTCTGCCAAGATACGGAAAGCTATTAGCTAGCATGCATATTGCTAAAAAGCATTGCGCAGTGCTATTCTACTAAATAAATCAATTAATATACTGCACAGTAAATAAAATCACACAAAATTACAAGCAATAATTCAACTCAAGAGCAGCAATTCATTAATTATACTTGTCATTTAAACGTCACGACATATAAAATAAAGCAGCGCAGGTCACAACCTATGTAGTTACCGGTGAAGAGCATCGAGAAGTTGCTGAGCGGGCCCGTCCGAGGCAGGTAGTCCGGCGTCGACGCCTTCAGGTCTAGCATCGTCATGGTCGCGGTTACCAGGACGGTATCACTATTACCGAGGCGATGTCACTGTTACCGGGGCAATGTCTCTGCTACCGGGGCACTGTCACAAATAACGGGGTGATTTCACTTATACCGGGACAATGTCACTGTTAACGGGGCGATGTCACAAATAACGGGCGATAACACTGTTACCGGAACGATATCACGAATACAGGGAAGATATTACGGTTACCGGAACAACGCCAAGATCACTGATGCAATCTCACAGTTACCGGGGCGATGGCTTTCTGGTGCTAACGCCTAACGCGTACACTTGGCCGGGAAGTCTAGGGTCTGGATCACGCTTGTTACAACTGAATGCTAATCGATGTGGATGTCACGATAGAATGGGTAATATTGGTAGGTAGAAATACGTACGCTACTTTACGTGTATGAGTCCCGAAGAAAGCGTTAATATATGCATAAAAATCAATTTAAGAAATCCATGTGATGCAATCACGATCGGTAAACACATTTTTCTTGGAAAATTATCTTGAAGTGTCGCTAGACTTCTAATCTTACAGAGTCGGGCATTTTTTTCATAGTGAATCTCATCACAAAAGATTATTCCCTCAGGCACGACAAAAATGTATCAAATAAACAAGAGGTCATTGCTGAATTAATTTCATATGGAGGAAATATTCCAGCATTTAAGGTTTATCGAAAAGCAGTATTTTTCTGTCTTGTTCACTGAATATTTTTCTACAACAATCTAAGTGTTGGGCACATTTCTGCCTCGATACATTTCCAGTTCCATGATAAATTTCATTCAATATGCACAAACCATTTTAACTGAAGACTTGGGACCGAATAGTTCAAAATAACCTTTATTGCACCTGCTTCTCTGCACTGGAATGGCTGGAGGTTTGTTCAGCTCATTGTGCGCTCGTGGGTCTCCAAGAAATGAAAGCAAAATCAGGGACTGTGTCACTGGCAAGTCACTTGACGCGTCGTCACAAGGGAGAGGCGACCTACGAAGGCAATTGAATTTGAGAGGATACAGAAAGGATGCAGTACTCCCGGTTCGGATACGGGAAGGATATGAGGATAGACTGTGCGCGTTGTCCTGAGGTTGGCTGGAGAATGAGCACACTTCCGCCATGCTACTCCATATCAAGTTGCTGAGGGAATTTCGGTTGCAAGTTATACTATTTGAAGATAATTTCTTTGTGACCAAGAGACACAAAGCTCCATGTAAACCATAAATTCAAGTATCAAATCGATGCATACAGCATAAAACTTATAATATAATTCTTCGTAATTAATCAAAAATAGGCAATAAAAAGAGGAATAATCGTAGAGATGGCAATGCTTGAGGCAAGGCGACCGGACGGCGGGGCGGGAAAGGTCTTCCGTAGCCAATAGACGACAGGATTTGCGGTCCAGGGAGGGACTGCCACCCTCACTTTAGACTGGGCTCCTCTTACCCTCACCCTGCCATTTTGCACTCCGAACTTGCCCTTCTTTCTGCCGCTGAACTTTGCTAGAAACTTAACCGAGATCAAGTAATCAAAACGAAATGATGAATGAGATGAAGTAAAAGTCTCATTTTCTGAGTAAGAGTTCGATGAACTCCGAGGTATCGTAAGGCTGGCGCTGGGACAGTCATTGCTGCGGCGTAGCGGCGCTGGAGGGGTTCGAGACCGCGCGAGTATCTACGCTCTCAGTAAATCAGTGGTCGAGTTCCTTGGCTGCAGATACTTAAACTTCGGCGTTTTGAGGGGGCGATCAATGGGGGGAGGGAGTATGTCGCCCTCGAGGTCGGGGAGGAGAGGGAGAGACCGAACACTAAAATGAAAGGCGAGGGGATTTTGAGGGAAGAAGCAGGATCGCAAAAGAGGAGAATAATAATTAACTGATCAATGTTCTCATGCTGCAAATTTACGGTAAGATAGTCATAAATAAAGATGTTCGTCAGAATATATGAGCGTACTGAGAATTAATCGATGCTTTTTGCTCTTGATTCACAACGATTATATGTTTGAGGATTATTTAAGACATTTTGGAAAAATGTCATTGCAATTTTTTTAAATGCTTAGATAGATCAAATAAATTATATTCGCGAGTAAAGAAAGCGCTAAAGCTTAGTCTAAAAACTTGATTAGCCGATAAATATGAATAATAAAGAAGTTAAATTTTTACAAACAAAACGGTAAAAGCAGTGAACAAGAGAACGCACAGAAAACGAATATTTATACGAGGCTCTTGAATGAAATCCCATTCATCGTCAACGAAGCAGGTAAAGTGCAGGATATTATTGTCATCTTGAAGCACGAATGAATTGCCAGTTAAAACTTATTTATAAATTGAGAAATAATAATCGATCATTTTGACTACAGGACTGAATTTTGTGCTCTTTTATTATTTAGAAACGAAAACAGATCAATCAATGATACATGCAGACCGCATCATCAACTGACGGGCGAAACCTCGGCCATGCCTGTACTTGTTATTTTTAGCGCATTTTCTCATTTATGGAAAAAATGCACTATTTTATGCTCGCCATGTCTGTCCGTCCGTCTGTCTGCCTGTCTGTCCGTCTGTCCGTGACCTCAAGTTTTCGTCGACGAGAAAATGCGCTCTCTGTCACTCACTGCAGTGAGTATCAGGTGGCATAATTTAATCAGGTGGCATAATTTAATCAGGTGGCATAATTTAATCAGGTAGCATAATTTAATCAGGTGGCATAATTTAATCAGGTAGCATAATTTAATCAGGTGGCATAATTTAATCAGGTAGCATAATTTAATCAGGTGGCAATCCTTCAACTCGCATGAGTAAATTAGGTTGCAATATTTTGACGGCTTGATTTCATATGTCCAAAATGCGTCCAGAATCTAAATAACGCTTGTAGCTTTCTCTCACGGAAAATTACATTACCACAACATTAAAAATTAAATTTTGGGAAATGTCATCTCGTATCACCAAATCATTAACACGAAATTGAAAAATCACTTCCTTGGAAAATTGAGAATACTTTCGCTTATGCGATTCCTTTGGAATTTCGTGAGCTGGTGGCGCGAGGCGCGGCGTCACGGTCGACGCGTCTGCCCAGCCTCCCATGACGCGGACAAAAGGCGGCCACCCGCGCCACCCTGGGTGGTGGCAGCGCTGCCATCAAGGCGAGGGATGCCGAGGGAAGGACTGCTGAGGGAAGGAATTCCGAGGGAAGGACAGCCGAGGGAAGGACTGCTGAGGGAAGGACTGCTGAGGGAAGTACTGCCGAGGGAAGGACTGCTGAGGGAAGGACTGCTGAGGGAAAGACTGCTGAGGGAAGGACTGCTGAGGGAAGTACTGCCGAGGGAAGGACTGCCGAGGGAAGGACTGCTGAGGGAAGGACTGCCGAGGGAAGGACTGCTGAGGGTAGGACTGCTGAGGGAGGGAAGGACTGCCGAGGGAAGGACTGCTGAGGGAAGGACTGCCGAGGGAAGGACTGCCGAGGGAATGCCTGCCGAGGGAAAGACGGCCAAGGCAAGAACCAGCAAAATGAAGACTGACGAAGGAAAAATTTCGGAGGGCATAATTGCCGCGGTAGAATTTTACAGCTAAAAACTGTTAGGAAAAGAACTGTTGATGGAAGACTGTATAATGGGGAGAACTGCCCAGAACAAATACCTCTGAAGAAATAACTACAGTTCAATGTATCTTCTAGCGGAGGACTGCCGGTAGCAGATCTAAAGATTATCCCTCTGATCCCTCAGAACGCGTTAGTCCCTCTGTAGCTCGACAATTAGCATCAATTGTACTCTCCCCATTGAAAGCCGAGGCCGAACCAGCGTCGGCTAATCACCGTCCACCAGCGGCCACTCGCCATGTATCGGATCTTCTGGAATCACGTTTCCTGTAAATTTCTTGTGCATTTTGTGAGTGGAAAATATCTGTACGCGAAACGTGGAGATCGAGAAGGCCGAAACTCGAAAACTTAGTTTCACTAGAATGGATTATGAATTTGTCCTCGAATGATGCTGTTTTGTTTAATATTTAGTTTTATTAAGGGTTTGATTCATTGTATTATATCTATAGTATTTATTTTTCTTATCAATTTATAACGAGTATTAGACTGCATTCTTTGATCTAAACTTGAATGACGGCTGCTGGAAGAATATTTGTGTACGACGTAACTAAATTACGAGTTTAATTGTGGGCAATGCATAAATGTTTTCAACGCTCATGCGATAAAGTAAATTCCTAGATATTATAAAATTTCTGCAACTTTTCGTATTACTTGTCACATATCACGGAAAGAAGTGGTAATCACGGAGCGCATTCCCTTTATGTAATGTTCATCCATGGCTTCATGACAACGATAGAGAATGAATAGTTTAGACATGATATGAATGAGTAGTTTAGATCACCCTATTTAGAGTTAATGTAATAGAGCCTTGGAGCAGTCCTGCACAACTATGCCACCACTCATGCACTGCCATCAGGGTGTGGTTGTGCACTGCCATGCAGCAGTCTTGCACCACTCTGCCACCACTCTTGCACTGCCAGCAGAGTGTGGTAGTGCACTGCCATACAGCAGTCTTGCACCACTCTGCCACCACTCTTGCACTGCCATCAGGGTGTGGTTGTGCTGATATCGTGGGTGTGGCCCACAGATTCTGGCCATTCATTCCTACCATCAATAAAACCTTCGTCTCCCGCTCACTTCTCCGATCTCCGTGCTAGCTTAAATTGTCTTCTGTTATGTTAGTTCAACATTACGGTTAATTGCAGTTGAGAATAACAGTTATGTATTAAAGGTATTGGCAGTCATGAATGCCAGTCCTAAATTACAGTTATTGACAGACTAGTACGAGTCATTTATTGTAGTGTCAACTTCTCTTCAACGCTTGATGGACGTTACAATTAGTATCAGTCGTGATTATCAGTTAATCTTTGCAGTTACTGGCATTTATTGATGTCGGTAAGATTCACAGGCTATAACAGCATAGATAAATGATTTTTAAGTTCCTAACAAACTAAGTCAGCGGAAAGGCTTATTCTTCATGACGTATAGGAATATATTTTTTTTAAACCGGCGTCCAGTAAGGACATTATTTGCGGAGTTGACTGACTACAAATTAGCTGGACTGTCAGGCTAAAAACTTCGAGCAGTTCTGAGCAATTTTTCCTCGTCTGATATGAAGTCATTTCAATTTAAATTAGAGAGGATTTGATGCCGTTATAATTCGATGTCGAATGAATTTCGAATCGTGACGATTTGAAAACAATATAATTTAAATTCTCGTAAGAATTCGAAATAACTCGAATTTAATCATCAGTGCCTTGAGCTTCAACTTCCTGGTACATCAAAAGCCCTGTTTCCAGTTAATTTTTGAGATTAGGATGTAATAGGTAATACAATGCAATATAAATAATATCTATTATGATATAATATATTTGATAGTAATATGAATATAATAAGCTAATATACATAATATTAAATTCCCAAGAATTAAGTACAAGCAACTCTTATTACAACTTTGACATCGACAATAACGAGAAGAAACTTTTAGGGATTGATAAAATAATGGATTAATGAAATATTGAATTCATATCCAGTAACGAAAATCCACAAAATTAGCTCCATCTCTGTCGTTCTCTGCACTGTCTACCAGCTCCTGGCCACTCACACAAACACAGTGCTAAGGAGAGCTCATGGTGGCTGTATTATACACAATGCATTATTCATACAGCTTGACTCCTGATGAACCCAAACAGAGTCTTCTCCCCTGGCAGCGCCCAACCCTCGTTCATTTATAACTGCTTTTTGCCTCCCAGTCGCGCCGTCCAAAAGTCGATCGCTGAGCGTGTGAAAGAACGCGCTACCTCGCTGCCGCCGCTCGCTGAAATGCGCACGGCGGCCTACATGTGCCAAGTGCTGTGTGCTGTGGTGCTGTGGTGCTGAGGTGCTGTGGTGCTGTGGTGCTGTGGTGCTAAGGTGCTGTGGTGCTGTGGTGCTGTGGTGCTGTGGTGCTGTGTGCTGTGGTGCTGTGGTGCTGTGGTGCTGTGTGCTGTGATGTTGAGTGCTGTGGTGCCGTGTGTTGTGATGCTGAGGGCTGTGTTCTGTACGTGTTACTGTGTTTTGTGTTATTGTTTGCTGTGGTGCTGTGCCCCTGTGCTGTGGTGCTGTGTGTTGTGCCTCTGCGCTGCGGTACTGGGAATCTGTGCTGTGGTGCTGTGTCTGTGCACTCTGGTGCCATTCCACTGTGCTGTGCTGCTGGGCCTCTGCGCTGTGGTGCAGGATGAAGAAAAATAAACGTTAGAATATGTGAATAAGGATTTGATGAATGGAGTGCGGAGGTTCAACGTTAGCGCAGGGTCACAAGGATTACGGGGCGACCAGCCTATCGACTGCCTGGAGACGAAGAACAACGAAGGCGGCGCATCAGCGTGACCTTGGACGCCGACGTAATAAACCCTTCATAAAGTCATAAGGAAGATAGGGAGGTGATGAATGGAGTGGGGGAATGTAGGGGTAGTTTGAGGCAGTAATGTCTTGCCAAAAGCGCTGAGAGGAGGGGAGTTCACCCTTGCAACATTCAAGAGACAACTGGACAAGTGGTTGAGAAAGATCCCGGACTGTCCAGTAATGGGAAACTACCATCAGCAAGTGACAAGCAACAGCATCTTGCATCAGCGTGCCCAAAGGAGGGGCAGATAGACGGAACACGTCCAACGTTACATCCGACGACGACTCGGAGACGGAGGACGACAAAGGCGGCGCATCAGCGTGACCGGGGACTAGGAAGTCCCGAACTCATCATAAGGGAGGATGAATAGATTGTGGAGAGAAAAAGAGGTGATAATGGGGTGTGGGGAGGCAGAGAGTGATGATAAAGTGTGGGGAGGCAGGGGTGATGAATGAAGTGTGGGGAGGCAGGGGTGATGAATGAAGTGTGGGGAGGCAGAGGGTGATGAATGAAGTGTGGGGAGGCAGGGGTGATGAATGAATTTTGGGGAGGCAGAGGGTGATGAATGAAGTGTGGGAGGCAGAGGGTGATGAATGAAGTGTGGGGAGGCAGAGGGTGATGAATGAAGTGTGGGGAGGCAGGGGTGATGAATGAATTTTGGGGAGGCAGAGGGTGATGAATGAAGTGTGGGAGGCAGAGGGTGATGAATGAAGTGTGGGGAGGCAGAGGGTGATGAATGAAGTGTGGGGAGGCAGGGGTGATGAATGAATTTTGGGGAGGCAGAGGGTGATGAATGAAGTGTGGGAGGCAGAGGGTGATGAATGAAGTGTGGGGAGGCAGAGGGTGATGAATGAAGTGTGGGGAGGCAGGGGTGATGAATGAATTTTGGGGAGGCAGAGGGTGATGAATGAAGTGTGGGAGGCAGAGGGTGATGAATGAAGTGTGGGGAGGCAGAGGGTGATGAATGAAGTGTGGGGAGGCAGGGGTGATGAATGAATTTTGGGGAGGCAGAGGGTGATGAATGAAGTGTGGGAGGCAGAGGGTGATGAATGAAGTGTGGGGAGGCAGAGGGTGATGAATGAAGTGTGGGGAGGCAGGGGTGATGAATGAATTTTGGGGAGGCAGAGGGTGATGAATGAAGTGTGGGAGGCAGAGGGTGATGAATGAAGTGTGGGGAGGCAGAGGGTGATGAATGAAGTGTGGGGAGGCAGGGGTGATGAATGAATTTTGGGGAGGCAGAGGGTGATGAATGAAGTGTGGGAGGCAGAGGGTGATGAATGAAGTGTGGGGAGGCAGAGGGTGATGAATGAAGTGTGGGGAGGCAGGGGTGATGAATGAATTTTGGGGAGGCAGAGGGTGATGAATGAAGTGTGGGAGGCAGAGGGTGATGAATGAAGTGTGGGGAGGCAGAGGGTGATGAATGAAGTGTGGGGAGGCAGGGGTGATGAATGAATTTTGGGGAGGCAGAGGGTGATGAATGAAGTGTGGGAGGCAGAGGGTGATGAATGAAGTGTGGGGAGGCAGAGGGTGATGAATGAAGTGTGGGGAGGCAGGGGTGATGAATGAATTTTGGGGAGGCAGAGGGTGATGAATGAAGTGTGGGAGGCAGAGGGTGATGAATGAAGTGTGGGGAGGCAGAGGGTGATGAATGAAGTGTGGGGAGGCAGGGGTGATGAATGAATTTTGGGGAGGCAGAGGGTGATGAATGAAGTGTGGGAGGCAGAGGGTGATGAATGAAGTGTGGGGAGGCAGAGGGTGATGAATGAAGTGTGGGGAGGCAGGGGTGATGAATGAATTTTGGGGAGGCAGAGGGTGATGAATGAAGTGTGGGAGGNGGTATTGTACTGGTATTGTACTGGTATTGTACTGGTATTGTACTGGTATTGTACTGGTATTGTACTGGTACTGTACTGGTATTGTACTGGTATTGTACTGGTATTGAACTGGTATCTGCCGTTACGAATTACTTGGGCCCGACCATTAGGTGTTACCGGGATCTTGGTCGCCGCATATAACTGGTGTGCTGGCTACTACATTAAGGCTTCATTAC